GTCAGGATTACTGGCAATATTAGCTGCATGAACTGCAAAATGATTGCCCTTGCCACAAGATGAACATATTTTTCCGTACGCTGGGCATACTTCTTTGCGGAAAGCATGTTGTGTACCACAGTATTTGCAATCGGGCATTCGAGTTGACTTTGATTTTCTTCGTTCTTGCGACTTTCCCCGCGACTCATATCTCGGGCGATCTTTGTCGGTAAGTGTTCTATATGTTGGTCTTACATCATGAACTGTGTTCGTTTCATCTTTGATTTCTTGCATTTGTTTCTGTGAGATTTCCGCGGCGTGTGCAATGTCAATGCATTTTTGTAGAGTCAGTTCTGGCTCTCGAAGTAGCCTACTTCGTACTTTGTCGTCTCGTATTCCTACAACTAATCTGTCGCGAATTAGTTCGTCTTGAAGCGTACCATAAGTACATTTCTTAGCTTGGACACGTAGCTCTGTTAAATACGCATCGAACGATTGAGTTTGTTGTTGCACTCGCGTATTGAATATATGTCTTTCATAAGTAATGTTCTTCTTTGGCTCACAGTAATTCTGAAATTTCGCCAGTATATCTTCAGGGTCGTCTTTATCTTCATCTTCTGCGAATGTAAATGTATTGAATACTTCTATAGCTTCTTCGCCAGCTATGTTCAACAGGATTGCGGCTTGTTTCTTTTTCGGGACGTTTGTCGCGTCGAATCCTGTAGGAGACATGTATATTTCAAACTGTTGGCGAAATCGTCTGTAGTTCTCGGCGACGTTGCCTTCGAATTCGAGCTTTGCCGGTTTTGTAAACTGGTCGGCGTTCATATTCATCCCACCGCTGCCACCATGTAGTTTATCTTATATTTAATGCTTAGAAACTAGTTAATAAAATACAAGGTAATCTCAGTTCGTGTTCGACTGCTACTTGATATATATTTGTCTGCTCCAGAGTCATTAATCATCTCAAATGTCAAACTGGGCGTATGAATATATTAACTAAATAATACGAATATATTAACTATATTACAGAGCCCAGCGACAAGTAGTTGTTGTTTTTCAGCATTAGTTGGAACGTCATGTTGTGTGGTAGAGGCCAGACAAAAAAATTTTATCGTCACATCTTTCACTGTCTTTCTTTTCTTCGCCCTTGCTTGTGTGTTCGAGGCAGTCCGGCGTTGAGACGAAGTCGACGACCCAGAACGAGATGTCGATGGATGATACGAGGCAAACAATCGCCGAAATTCATCTCGTGCTCGCTCTGGCCTACCAGTACTAGCACTACCAGTGTCATGTCCTGATTGCACTGCGATTGCTGTCGGCACCGATCTCGATGTCTCACTCGATGTTAACCTTTGACCGCTTTGGGAGTTTTGGCCGTTATGCAGCAAGGGAGAATTGATTAAACTTGTTGCCGCTTGTGTCAACAAACGCGCTGCTTCTGTAAGATCTGTTGATTTGGCCATTTTGAGTCACGCTTTTTGACTGGAAAGCATTGAAATTTGAATGGAATGACTGTGCTTCCATCATCAGATTCTTAACATTCCTTTTTTAAATTTCCAAATTTCCTTCTTTAATTTATCTCCCCTCGGCCCTGTAGAGGCTAATCAGTAATAAGGACGCAGTCCCTAATAAATGGACTTTTACTACTAGTACATGTATAGTTTCCTTCAAACTCAAAGTGGGGTTGTGGGGGAACAGCAGGGCCAACTGCCCCCCTCCCCCTTTAATTTTATTATGTTATTATAAATTATTAAGCCAATTGGTGCTTTAATATGGCCTTGTGAATTAGAATGTATGATTCTCTGTGGGGGTGGCAATAAGCATGCATCAAACTGATATGACTTGTGCCCCTGGTGGAAAAGTGGAAAACCAGGAAAAATCTCAATAGGAAACCCTGGTGCTACAGCTTCGTCAAACTTTGTTTTCAATGCAAAATTTCCATTTAATAACTGAATAATTAAAGTGGAAGTCAAGTCCGTTCTGCCCACTGAGCTATAAAATATTACAATATATTATTATTATAATATTATAATATTAATTGTAATATAGTATAGCTCAGTGGTTCTGCCGTAAACATTACCCAAATTTCAAATGTTTCTAATTTATCTGAACATAAACTCTATTTCATTCTGAACATAAACTCTATTTCATATTGATTTAGAAGCACAGCGAACCAAAATGGTGTTAGATATTCAGACAGTACATCATCAAAAAATACAGCAGTTCAAAATGTAAACAAACCGTTTGTTTACATACCGACTTGACTTCCACTTTAAAAATAAGCTAAATGATAAAAATAAACTAAATAATAAAATAAACTGTGAATAATGAACCGAACTGATATCAGTTTCCTTCAAGCTTTCAATTTCCACCGCCATTTTGAACTAGTGCTATCAAGCCTACCGTGTAGTGCCCAAACCTCTGAATAATGAAAAATAAGCTGAATAATGAAAAATAAGCTGAATAATGAAAAATAAGCTGAATAATAAAAAAGAAGCTGAATAATGAAAAATAAGCTGAATAATGAAAAATAAGCTGAATAATAATAAAAGTTATCTGAATAATTGAAAATAACCTGAATAATAATACAAAATAACCTGAATAATAATAAAAATTAGCTGAATAATAATAAAAATTAGCTGAATAATTGAAAATAAGCTGAATAATAATACAAAAAAGCTGAATAATAACAAAAAATAGCTGAATAATAAAAAATAAGCTGAATAATAATACAAAATAAGCTGAATAATACTAAACAATGAAGTCAAAATATCGAAATAATGCGAAAAATAACGAATAATATCGTGTTTATATAATTTTGGCGGACATGGCACCCCATAGATGTCGACGAGATCAGAGAGAGAACTTGGCCAAATACATCCATTTGCAGGAGGTAGGCACATTTCATCATTCTATAAAAAAGATAAAGGGAAAAAGGTAATGTAAGTCCACTGCTGTTTATCTGAAGTTGCATGCCACAAATTGACATTTAACTATGATTATTGCATGGTCATTTTCTTGTGAAATATTAGTGCTAGGCATTTCACACTTACCAATGACCACCCCCAAAAGTACCATCTCTGAACCATATAAGCACCTCAGAATAGCCAAAACGTTTATGGTTTGCTAGATAGCAGTACGACCAAAGCGTCGTTTTTGGGTGTGGTCAGTTTCGGACGTTTCGCCCCAGATTGGGGTTCGGGTAGCATTATCATGTCGACCGTCATGCTCAACTTGCCCCAAAACAGTTGAGATTATCTGTCCCAAATGAAATGCATACAAATTCATATACAGGTCCTAGATTAAAGGTAGTTGTGCAAGCAACAAGCTGCCATAATCACATATGTGACCTTATCAGGAGACAATTTAATTGTTGTAAGGAAAACTCTCCACCTGTTGTGGTAGGAAGTAAAGTTAATGTTTATATATATTAATATTACATAACCATGATAGTTCACAGTCTGATTAGATAATGGGGCTGATCAGAACTGTACAACATTTCAGTTTATGGTGAAGGAGGTTAAGCTAGCAATGTTTGCTGTACGAGTAATTCATATTATACAATCAAAATGCTTGTAAATCCAAGTAAGAGGAGAAAACTTACCTGTGTGCAAGAATACCAAAGGCACTCTCAAATACTCTCCTTGCATGTGACAACCTGTAGTTGAATATTCGTTTCCGTCTTTCCATATTGCGGTGAGGGTAGGGTTTCATTAATTGTAGGCTCATGGGAAATGCATCATCCCCAACAATGTCATAATGCAATTTTGTTGTTGTATTTTCTGAAACTTTGAGGTTTGTTGGAGGGGGAAGATTTAAAGTATCATTAGAAATAGCTTTTTTTAATGATGAATCAACATAGACTTCAGAATCCCCTGCTCGACGTGCTGCACCCACATCAACGAAAATGAATTTATAATTTGTGTCAACCAAACGTAGCAAAAGGACACTAAAAACTGTTTAGAACTGAAAAATCCAAATCTTTGATGAAGATGAGCAAGCAAGTGCTACTGGCCCAAGTCCATCGATTGAAAGTGAACAGGAAGAGGATGGAACTCCAAATCAACCAAAGAACCACTTAAATTAAAACCAAATAGGAAAAGACAAGCGGAAGAAGAGTTGAAGTTAATCAAAGGATTATTGCAGTCCATTGCTGAAAGAAGACAGGCACAAAAGGCAAAGAAACCAGTCACAAATCCTCTTGAAACCTTTGCTAATTATGCTGGCCAAACATTGTCTGAACTTGACAATAGCATAAGGCACTTGCCTCAACATCATAGCTCAAACTGGCACATTGAGGCAAGACCACCTACTTTAATACTACCACCTATACAAGTAAAGCCACCTTTGTATCAACCACAGCCACCAAATTATAACAGGGCAGGTGTGAACAATCCACCTTCCAAGCTTGCATCCTCAGTTGATTGTTCAGATACAAAGTCCATCATCCCAGCCTGTTGGTTTACTCCATAACTGCAATATTTCAACAAACATTTGGACAATGCCAAATATTGAGATTAATAATTACAGCCCCGACGCGAATTACGAATAACATGTGTTGAATTATAAAGTATGAATAGAGAGAAATTAATATTTTTGCACAGACTTTGCCAAACTGTCAGATTATATTTAAAATTCTATTAGGTGAAAGCAGGCTTCGATAAAGTGCATGAGCGCTGCTCGCAGGCACATTTTCCATTTGTGCAGGCACAAATTTTTTCTTGATCTTTTAGCGAATTAGCAGTGCAATAGAAAAGTTGTTAATTTCCCGAAAACAAGTGAAGTCGTTGTAATAACGCAGAACAAACGTTTAAAATACGGCAATATTTTCAATTTGAAACATCTACAGTTGTTTTTAAAGGAACCTGTGAGTAATAAATTGTGTAACCTTGCCGGAAAGACGGGAAGGTCATGCTCAACGTCCGAAAATGGGATGTATATATTACTGCATCCCATTTGCAATTAAACGTGCCGCGCACCGAATTTTTGTGTTTGCAAGTAGTCGACGTGACCTCTACTCAACGTTACGTTTGCTTATGTCAACGTTATGTTTACCCAATTAAGTCAATGTTGATATCATATTTTTTTGCGAATAAATATCACATGTAATAAGTATTGACTAATAAATATTGATAAATAAGTATTGACTATTGTTTCGTTGGTAGATATTATATTTGGTTCTTTCAACTATCTTCTTTGACTATAATACTTTCAATATACTTTCTAATATTTTCATTTTATCCTATGAATCGCTTTTTAAAATTAAAAAATTTATTTACTTTGTATTTTTACGTTAAAACACCAATATTATAAAGAAAATTTCTCTCAGTCAAAAATTTCAAAACATGAGTGACCTGACGTGACGCGAGCTGAAAACAAATGAGAGGCGTGGCAAATGCATTTACACAATACTTATTTATAACCTGCTTAGCTTGCTGTATTTACTATATTTTTAAACACCATCAAGCGA